CCCTCACTCACTAGTGCAGATCAGCTGCAGCTCTTGCTGCTGCCCCCTCAGGTGCCGCCTGGCCATGCCTGTCAACACAGAGCCTGTCACAGCCCTAGCGGCACAGCTCCCTGCCAGCGGCGCTGTCGGTGCTGTGGCCACATGGGCTGCTGGCCCGGCAGGGCTCAGCCCGGCCCTTGCCGCACCCTGCCTCCCCAGGGCACGGCTGCCAGAGGGCGGCAGCAGCAATGCCCAGGCCAGGTGGGGCTCCACAGTACCGGGCCCGGCTGGCGCTGCCGGGGCAGCAGGCGGGGCTGGGGCCGAGCTGCGGCGGGCCGGGAAGGGGAAGGGCAGCCCGGGCTCGTGGCTCACCCATGAACCTGATGGCCGCCTCTCGCAGGGGCTTCTGTGGGCTCTCCAGGTAGCGCAGGGCCCGGCGCAGGTTCTCGGCCGCTCGGCTCCTGTCCTCTGCCAGCTGCAGAGAGCGACAGGAGGGAAGGGTTGGCGCGAGCTCAGCCCCTGGGCTGGGCGCTGCCTGCGCCCCGCCCCGGCCTCCCCTGGCTGCACAGCCCTGAGGCGCGGCCAGGAGCCGCTGGCCAAGGGCTCCCGGGGACAGGGGGCAGAGGGCCGGCTGCTGCCCGGGGGAGCCGCGGTGCTGCCCCGCAGCCCCGCCGGGCCGGGGCTCCATGGGCACCGGACTCGGGCCCATGGGAGCCTGGAGAAGAGCCCGCGTGGCCTCTGGCTGCAGCAGCGGGCAGGGGCACAGCTGCCAGCCCCACACACAGAGCACCACCCTCAGGGGCCTTCTCCAGCCTGAGGCTGGGGCTTGCAGGCCCTCCTTACCAGGAGCTCAGCGAACTTCGAGAGTTTCTCTTTCTTCACAGTTTTTTCAAGATCTTTCCTTTTCAGGAACTTGACCGCACAAAGCAGTGCTTCCTGAGAAGTCTGGAGAGCAGCAGAGACACGGAGATGGCGCCAGAGCCCAGGGCACAGGAGCTGCAGTCCAGCAGGCGCAGGGCAGGAGGCAGCCGAGCCCCGCGCCAGGGGGACAGCAGCAGCCCACGAGTCCTCACCTGTGCCACGCGCAGATTCTCATTGTGGCAGTGGAAGAAGAGTGGGAGCAGGCTCTGACACACTTGTGTCATCAGGGGCTTTTTTCCTTCTTCTTCTATGGCAGACATCAAGGTGTGAAAGAGAATCATGGAGAGCTGCTGCACCTGGCTATCAGCCTGTAGAACAGGAAGGCAGCAAGAGCTCAGCATCAGCTGATTCTGGCCTGCATTGGCACAGGCCTGCATCTCCACAGGGCACCGTGTGTCCGGGAAGCAGCCTGTGCCCGTGGCTGGGGGCATAGAGCCTTACGTTGTCAAAGAGTGGGAGGAACGGCTTAGCCAGGTCCAGGGCCACGGGGCTGGGTATCCCGGCACCATCATCCAGGAAGAGATAGCCCAGTATCCTGGTGGTCATCCTGAGCAGGAGGTCCATGAGCCTTTCGGTCAAGCTCCGTTTTCTTTCGGCCTGTGCAGAAGGCAAGTTTGTTAAAGGCTACCCTGCTGCCGCAGGGCCCAGAGCCAAAGGCCTGTCCTGAAATGTGACAGTGGTCACAGAGGTTTTCAGAATGAGGGAAGAGATGTAGATCTGATTTTATATTTCAGAAGGCTTGATTTATTATTTTATGATATATATATTACATTAAAACTATACTAAAAGAATATAAGGAAAAGGTTCATCTCAGAAGGCTAGCTAAGCTAAGAATAGAAAGGAATGAAAACAAAAGTCTGTGGCTCAGACAGAGAGTGAGAGCCAGCTCTGCTGTGAGTGGTCACTAATTCCAAACATCCACATGAGACTAATCACGGATCCACCTGTTGCATTCCACAGCAGCAGATAACCATTGTTTACATTTTGTTTCTGAGGCATCAGCTTCTCAGAAGGGAAAAATCCTAAGAAAGGATTTTTACCAAAAGATGTCTATGACACTGAAGCACTCGGGCAGCTGAAACGGGAGGCAGGAGAGCTGGGAGCAGCTGCCCCAGCGTCCGAAGCCCAGGCAGGGCCAAGCGACTGCGCTGCCAAGCCCCACGCTGCCTGCACGGCTTCAGCCACTGCCCCCTTCTCACCTGCGGGGAATGGTCCCTGAGATGCTGGCTGCCAGTGTCTGCGCGCTCCCTCCGCAGATGCCTTGGCAAGACATCTATGATGCTGTCCCTGCATTCCCTCAAGTCCAGGCACTCGAGGCCCTGAAAGGCACAGGGCAGTGATGGGGGAGCTGGCTGGCAGGAGCCCGGAGCCGCACAGGGCTGGGCCCAGGCAGCAGCACAGGGTGCGGGCACCATGCCAGGCAGCTGCAGCGACGAGAGGGCAGAGAGCTGGGAGGCAGCTCAGCCAGGCAGTGCTGGCCTTCAGGCTCACCTCCGCAAGGAATGCCAGAGCAAGGAAATCCCAGTATGGCATCTTTTTATTGAGCATCTCAAGGAGACAGTCTAAGATCCTTTTACACAAGGGCATGGATGCATGGCGCATCTCCCTGGAAGGCAGAAAATGGCATTAAGATCCTGAGCTGGGGAGGGGTGGGGAAGCCTCTCCCAGCACTGACTCACATGGTTCTTGTCTTTCCCCACCACCCTGCCAGAGGACCTGGGCCCTTTGAGATGTGGCCGCTCATGGGCACCCTCCTTTCCCAGCCTTTTCCAGTCTGCTTGGCTGTCCCTCGTCCCTTTGGCCCACAGCCACGGGGACCGTGTGGGACAGCCCAGGCACAGGGCAAAAATGCCGGGAGCAATGGGGAGAAGGGGGGTCTCACCTGGCCAGCAGAGCCACGGCATAGTGGTGGGTATCAACGCAGAGCAGCGTGTCCCAGCCACGCTTGCCTTCCATTGGCACCACCACATCCTCGCAGCGGAGAAGGCAGAGCGGGGACTTCATGGTCTGCACTGCAAACCTGTGTGCAGAGAGCAAATCCCAGGTCACACTGGCAGCACTGGCTCCTTGGCAGGCCACATGGCAGGGACAGGAGGAGTGGGATGGAGCACCTGTTGGGGTTGGTGGCAAGGCTGTGCTCTTCCTGGCATTCCTTCCAGAAGGTTTTGACCTCCTCTGGCATCTCTTCTGTGCTGAAGAACACTTGGAAGAGCAGATGCACAAAGAGGTGCGGGAAATACGGCTCCACTACACGTGGGACAGGGGGCTCCTGGAGGATCTTCCACATCACTACGGTTGCCTGCAAGGGACAAAGTCCCCCGAGACAGCGCTCAGTGCCAAGCTGTGCATGTGGCAGGGCCCAAGCAGGGCAGGGGGAGGCCCGGAGAGACCTTGTCAGGGGGAGCACGGGGCCTGGTGGGCCTGAAGCTGCCCCTGGGCCAGGTTTCAGCTCAGTGCCTGAGGCAGGGAGATGCAGTGAGGGAAGGAGGATGGAGAGCTGCTGGAGAGGCAGTCTTGTGGCCAGCAAAGGCCAGTTGCAGAAACTCACAGCCAGGCCAAAGACACCCGTTTCGTCCCCATCGGAGGTGCACGTGCTGTGCTCTGGCCAGCTCCCCAGCACATCCAGGAGTATCAGCTGCACTGGCTCCACAGTCCTGAGCGAGCACATGATGGTCTTCCACATGGAGATGGCAGCTCTGCGGGGTCAGAGCTCTGTCTCAGGGGGGTCTCAGACACAGCACCATGGCCTGGGCATCCCTAGGGGCCCAGGCTGACCACTGGCTCTGCCTCTGCCCACTGGCCCTGGCCAGCAGCACCCAGGCAGCCCAGCCCTGTGGGGACAGAGCCCTGAGGGGCAGGGAGGAAGCATGCCAGCAGGCTTGGGGGCTGACGTGCCAGGGCTGGGAAAGGCAGCAGCCAGAGGGCTCTGGAACTCTCTGTTGGTGAGACACCTGGGCCAGGCTGTACAGGGTGATGGGCCGGGGAGGCCTGAGCCCTCTGGGCCGGTGGGCCCCATACCTGTCACAGGACGGGGCCACACGCAGGAGCGTCATGACTGAATCATCTAGGTGAGCTTTGGTGAGATTCAGCAGGGCCTTGTCCAGCCTGTGCTCAGCAGAATCATTGGCCTTGACCCATCGGTGAATGTACCTCACCATGGCGGGCACCTGGAGAAGGCACGGGGAGACTTGGAAGGCTGCCAGAGGGAGCAATGTCCCCAGGGTCCCCAGAGAAGTGCTTCCCTTCCCAGCGCACTGCCATGGCCTCAAAGGCTCCCAGGGACCAGCAGGCGTGGCTGGGGAAGCCACGGGACTCATGGGGCAATTGAAGCCTGGTCCCAGGCTGCTTACTTGTTCTGGCCTGGCAACACCCTTCTCCAGGAGCAAATCCAGCAGGGCGGCACTGGTCTCATGACTAAGGAGCTTGGAGTGAGCTCTGAGGCCAGTGCCCATGGTGCTGGTCTCTTCCTGCCGAATGCTCCTGATGAAGTCGCAAACGAGCTGTAGGAGAAGGGCAAGAAGCCGGGGATGTTGCATGGAGTGCTGCACACACGGTGCTGGGCTGAGCAGGGACAGCAGGCCCAGCCCAGGTGAGGGTGGCTGCAGGTACCTGCACTGTTCTGCGGAAGCGGCCACGGCTGGACTCCTGCTCATGTGTGCACTCCAGGGCTGCATCTGGCAAAGAGCGAGCATAGCCAGAGCTGAGGGGCTGCGGGAGTGGCCGGAGAGCACGGCCCAGCCCTGCGCTCCCCAGGCAGGGAGAGCCCTGGGATCCTCCAGGGGGATGGAGCACGGCCACTGCGGGGTGTCTGCCCGGCCCCTCTTCCATCCTGTCCGTGGGCATTTCCGCAGGAGACGGCATGGCATGGCATGGCATGGCATGGCATGGCATGGCATGGCATGGCATGATGCCAAGCTGGCCGCAGGCTCGTGCCCTGCAGCCCAGCTCTGCCACTCACCCTCCTGCGGTGGATTGAACGGCACCGCCTCTTCCGTGTCCTGTGCTGGGGCAGCTCCAGGGCCTTCTTCCTCCTCCTCCTCGCACACCAGCTTGGGCACTCTCGGGGCTCTCTGCTCCATGTCTGTGCCTGGAGCGCGCCCCAGCAGCGATCCCATCCGGTGCCGCTCCTGCACGGCCTCCTGCGCCTTCCCTGCGGACGGGACGCGGCTCTCAGCGCTCGGCCCCGGGCCAGCCACCGCCCCCGAGCGCCCCTCACCCGCCCCGGGCCGGCCATGCCCAGGCGTTCGCTCCCGGGAACGCGGCACGGGAGGCTCGGGGTCGGCGGCCGCGCTGCCGAGCGGCGGAGCTCGGGCCGGGGAAGCCGCAGCGGAGGCGGCTGGAGCGGCCGCGCCGCCTGTGTCCTCCGCGGGCCCCGGGAGGAGCCGGGGCCGGGGCCGGGGCCGGGGCCGGGCTCGGGCCAGGCGGAGGCAAAGGGCGGCGATGCCGCCCCGGCCCCAGGCACTGATGCCCGCCCGGCGGCGCCACCGCCAGTACGGCCAGAGCCGGGCGGAGGCGAGACCGCGGCGGGACGGCCGGGGCCGGGCACGGGGCGGCCCCGCCCGGGGCCGGGGGCGGGCCTGGGGCATGGCCCGGCCCAGCAGGGGAGAGGGAGGCGGGGAGAGGAGAGGGACGCCGGGCAAGGGACCGCGAGAGAACGGTGCCCGACAGTGGGAAAAGGAGAGAAAGAGAAAGAAAAAGAGAAATAGAAAGAGTGTTTAAAACGATCTGTTTGATGCTGCTGCTGTCGCCGCTGCCGCCGCTGCCGCTGCCGCCGCTGCAACTGAGGCACCGGGGCCGTTCGTCCCCGTGTCCGTTCCCCACGAGCCCCACGAGCCCCACGTTCGAGCCCCGCGCGCCCCAGGGACAGCCCCTCCGTCTGCCCAAAAACGGGATCTTTGCAGCCTTGAGCCCGGATGCAGAGCCCTGACTCCTGCACACTGGCACAGCGATCCTCTCGCTTGCTGCTGTGCATTGTCCTTGCTGAGGGTCAAACACTGTCGGGCCACCTTCCCTTGGGGTAGGATTCCTACCTGAGCCTAGCACTGCACTTACGTCTCCAGTTTTGCTTTCCAGTAAAAACAGGGGAAGGAAAACTGTGTGTGGCTCATGGTATTTTAGAGTGTCTAAAAATCACTAAGTCATCGATCTTAGAGATGAGGTGCATCTTGAATTACTGGGATGCAACATGAAAAAGGGGAGCATAGAAATAGATAGGGGAAAACATCTTGGATTGTTTCTTTCATTTTCATTTCACTTCTGGAAAGCTGTTTCAGTTTTCCAGGAATCTTCTCCTGTCTGCTCTCTCCAAGAACCTCATGGAGAACAAGGTCAAGCTTCTGTCACAAGATTTGCCACCAGGAAATTATGCCACTGGTGAAGTTTTCATTGTGACTGTTTGTGCTGGTTTAGGGCAAATTTTGGGAGGAACTCTTCAAAAGGGGTCCATCTAGAAAGCAAGTTCAAGCGTCCCCTCCCCCTACTAGTTCAGGAAAAGACTTCCCTTGAGAAAAGTGAAAAAACCCCAGTTTATTTCACAAGTAAAGTATTCACAAGCATGAAAAATTAATAATATTAAATAAAACCTTGGACAGTGCTGAAGAGATGGCACATTCAGAAAGTCCTTTTTGTGGGTTGTAGTTGGCTCACTCGGTCTCTTCTAAGTCCCTCTGGAGCTGGAATGCAGCGTCCCAGAGCTCGGGGGGCCACAGGTTTGAGCTGCCGGTGTTTTTCTGGGTTTTCAGTCCAGAGCAGGTTTAAACAGTTCCAAGAGAAAGGAAAGTCACAGCCCGAGAAACTTCTCTGCCCTAGCTAGCTACAAAACAATTGCTAGACCTGGGCTGTGAAGGCATCAGGAATTTTCCAAATCTGGGAACTGGCGGTCCCAGCAAACACCAGAGCTGGATGGTGCTGGTGCCAGAACCTGCAAATTTCCAAACTTTGACTTTCTGTGCCAGCAAATCACTGGACTTGGGCTGTGCCAGCACCAGGAAGTTTTCAGATCTGGGCACTGGTGCTGCCAGCAAGCACCAGATCTGGATGGTGTCATTGCCAGTGACAGAAATCTGCCACATTTGGGCTCTGCTGACACCGGGAAATTTCCAAATCTGGGTTCTGGTGCAGCAAACACAAGATGTGGGTGGTGCCAGACCCAGTAGCAGGAAGCTGCCACTCGTTTTGGATTTCTGTGCCAGCAAATTGCTGCACTTGGGCTGTGCCAGAATAGGGAAATTTCCAGATCTGGGCACTGGCAGTGCCCGCAAACAGCCCATTTCAGGCTCCAGGAAGGACTGCATCTGGGTGCCTTCCTCTTTTCTTTCCTTCTTTCCTTCCATCTTTCTTGTGATCCTGCTGCCAACAAACTCCAGATTGGGCGGTGCTGGCAAGGGGAAATTGCCAGGTTTTAGCTTTCTTTGCCTGCAAATTCTGGATATGGGTGGTGCCAGAAGAGGGAAATTGCCACATGTGGGCACCGGCAGTGCCAGCGCACGCCAGATCTTGGTGTGGAATGTGCCGGCACAGCGAAATTGCCAGATGCTTATTTTCTGTGCCAGCAAATTGCTGGACTTGGGCTGTGCCAGAATAGGGAAATATCAAGATCTGGGAACTGGCAGTGCCAGCAAACACCACATTTCAGGAAGGACTGGATCTGGACCCGTTCCCTCCCTGCCTCCCTCCCTCAACAAGGTGCCAGAGGGGCTGGACAGCAGCCAGGCAGAAAGGGACCCGCAGGGACTGATGGACAGCAGGCTGGACATGAGCCAGCAGTGTGCCCAGGTGGCCAAGGAGGCCAATGGCTCCTGGCCTGGGTCAGGAATGGTGTGGCCAGCAGGACCAGGGCAGTGATTCTTCCCCTGTGCTCAGCACTGCTTGGGCAGCACCTCGAGTGCTGTTTGCAGTTCTGAGGCCCCCAAATTAGGAAGGACATGGAGGGGCTGGAGCGTGTCCAGAGAAGGGCCACAAGGCTGAGGAGGTGTTGGGAGCACAAGTCCCTGGAGGAGCGGCTGAGGGAAACCACCCTTGGAGCAGTTGAAGGATGAGCCCTGGGCCTCTTCTTCAGGAGCTCCAGCAGCCCAGGTCCCTCAGCTTCTCCTGCCAGCCCCAAAGCCCATCCTGTCAGTCCTGCAGAGCCTCTGCAGCTCCTCCTCACTGCCCAGAACAGGGAGCCCCAGAGCCAGACACAGCAGCCCAGATGGGCCCCCCTGGCCTGGGGTGCCTCTGGCAAGGGAGCAGCACCAGGCACTGCAGGAGCCTGCAGACCATTGATCTGAACGCCAAAGCTCCTTAGCTCCTTCTGAAAGAGCAGGAACAGTTCCTCATTCCAGTGTGGTGGAATGCTAGGCACCACAGCTCCAGGCGAGGACTGGACACAAGTTTGCTCCCACTGAGTGCTGTGATGGGTTCTGCAGGAGCTCTAGGCTCTTGTGCTTGCCAGGCACAATGAGGAGAGAAGGAGCCAAGTCCACTGATGTGGAAATGGATATGTACAAAGCTTTTAGGGCCTAGTAGAAGGCCCACAGAGTATGCCTCTGTATATAAACTTTGAGACAATAAATGCTAACCGAAAAATGCCATGGATTAGGCCAGATATTGTTGAGAGAGAAATGGAGCTGGAAAAAAGTTCCAAAAGATGGCCTTGCAAATGAGATTTTGGAAAAACAGAGCCATGAAAGATGCATTGTAGTGGGACCCACGAGGGGCAGATTTAATAATTGGCTTTAAGGCATTCACAACGTGGCATGGCAAAAGTCAGACAGACCAAGAAACGCTTATAATGTATTATAATTAGGAAATCGCTGGCTTCCGATTGTGATGGCGTGAATTATAACATCTGTAATGTCTCACCCTTCTCATAAGACTGAAAATGGAATAAAAGTTTTTAAAATACCTCTCAGTTGCCCCATCTCTAGGTCAAGAAAAGAGTATTATCCAACACACTGACACACCTTTGCCCTGAGCATAACCCAGCCTGGACAAACACACTGAAAGGTTTCCCCTTTGGCCCATGTCTCGAAATATCAGGTCTGCTGTTTGACAACTCAGGTTGGTTTGGTGTCAAGGAGTTCCCTCAGAAATACTGGGTTTGTCTTCCTCTGTGCCTTCCCCTCAGCAGCCTTGGGGATGCTCCTGTGTGAAGCCATCTGTCTCACACAGTTTGAGACAATTTCAAACAGGATATTGTGCAATAAGTTGTCTCCTCTAAAGTGTTCCAACAATCCCTTTCCAGCAATAGGAAATTATTACTAATAGATGAAAGTGGAAAACCCCCACAGTTTATTAACAAACAGAATCCCCCCATGACACGCGTTACAAGAAGGCGCTGGGGTCTCTCTCAGAAGAACAGGAGCTGTCATGGAGCAGTTCCAGCAGCTGATGGAAGCTCAGTGGCTCGTCCGGCGTCGGCTTTCTCCCATGGCAGAGCTCCATGGAGCGGGCAGGGCAGTGAAGCAGCTGGGCTGGAGCCCCTTGCTGCCTTTTCTCCCTGGCATGGCTCAGCTCACAGACTCTCCGGCTGGGAGCGGGGCCGCTCCGCTCCTGCCGGCACCGTGTCCCTGGGCTTGGACAAACAGTTTCCTGCCAGGAGAGCCCTGCACACTGCTCCACAGATCTTTCATAAAGGCCCAAACCAACCCCAAACACTCAGTTTGCAGCAACTTTTCACAAAGGGCTGCAGCAATCCAGGACAGCTGCAAGTGAGTGTCGGAAGGCTCTTGTCTTGTTCCTGACAGCAGAATTCTTGATGATCTTGTGCAATTCTATTCAGATGTAACACGAGAGCTGAGGGTTTTTTGTTAAAATATTACATGATGAGTAAGAAGCCTTGAGAGCGTGAGGTGCAGGACTGATGTGTGAAAGCATGAGCATATCCTCCAAAGTGGCAAGTTTATTGCCCATTTTATTACTCTTGTATTTACTCCACACTAATAAGGAAAACCAAGCTTTGCTTGGAGGCAAAACAGCCATGGGATACACTACGGTCCCTCACAGGCTCACCAGGGCTGGCAGTGACACAGCAGGCAGTCTGCTTCATTGTGAACCACTACAGAGCTGTGTCCCAATCTGGTTTAAGTAGCGTGGTATTATTAAGAGCTCCTTTTCTGCATGAGACACAAAAAGGAGATCCCAAATGACCTTCATGCAAGTATGCAGTAAAGAACTGCTCCTGCTATCCTAACGAAGTGTTTGCTTTGGCAATACACTCTTCCCATTCATCTTTTGCTGCAGACACTTCAGGTTTTCCCCCACACCCCTGCAAGGCTGGTAGTCACTGTTTCCCATTTCCTGTTCTTCCCTAGAGATGGTGCCGTGGTTGCTTTGAAACAAAAAGCCCTGAGATCTGGACAGCTTGAAGGAGCATGAAATGCTAATTAAGTGCTCATATTGGTAACACCCAGGTTTGCACTGCCCAGTGCTCTGAAGCAGCAGCAGGATCATGCATCATTCCTGTTGGTGGATGTTCGTGTTTCTGGTGTGCATGAGCAATGATTTTGAGGAGGGACAAAAATGCCCCTCTTCAAACAGTGGGTGTGCAAGGAGATGTGAAGTTTCACAGCCTTTTCTAGGATATTTCAGAAAGATCTAAGAGAATATTGTGGCA